CAGGGGTACAAAATCTGAAATTTCATATTTTAGTGGTACAAATTGTTACTTTCATTGCAGGAGTAACTACTGATTCTGCTTGTGCAAAAGGGTACTTTACTCTTGAGCCTAATATGAATTTAGGTTAGTTTCTATAGGAACGGCAGGGGTACAAAATCTGAAATTTCATATTTTAGTGGTACAAATTGTTACTTTCATTGCAGGAGTAACTACTGATTCTGCTTGTGCAAAAGGGTACTTTACTCTTGAGCCTAATATGAATTTAGGTTAGTTTCTATAGGAACGGTAGGGGTACAAAATCTGAAATTTTATATTTTAGTGGTACAAATTATGTTACTTTCATTGCAGGAGTAACTACTGATTCTGCTTGTGCAAAAGGGTACTTTACTCTTGAGCCTAATATGAATTTAGGTTAATTTCTATAGGAACGGCAGGGGTACAAAATCTGAAATTTTATATTTTAGTGGTACAAATTATGTTCCTTTCATTGCAGGAGTAACTATTGATTCTGCTAGTGCAAAAGGGTACTTTACTCTTGAGCTTAATATGAATTTAGGTTAGTTTCTATAGGAACGGTAGGGGTACAAAATCTGAAATTTTATATTTTAGTGGTACAAATTATGTTACTTTCATTGCAGGAGTAACTACTGATTCTGCTTGTGCAAAAGGGTACTTTACTCTTGAGCCTAATATGAATTTAGGTTAATTTCTATAGGAACGGCAGGGGTACAAAATCTGAAATTTTATATTTTAGTGGTACAAATTATGTTACTTTTATTGCAGGAGTAACTATTGATTCTGCTAGTGCAAAAGGGTACTTTACTCTTGAGCCTAATATGAATTTAGGTTAGTTTCTATAGGAACGGCAGGGGTACAAAATCTGAAATTTCATATTTTAGTGGTACAAATTGTTACTTTCATTGCAGGAGTAACTACTGATTCTGCTTGTGCAAAAGGGTACTTTACTCTTGAGCCTAATATGAATTTAGGTTAATTTCTATAGGAACGGCAGGGGTACAAAATCTGAAATTTCATATTTTAGTGGTACAAATTATGTTACTTTCATTATAGGAGAAATTATTGATTCTGCTAGTGCAAAAGGGTACTTTACTCTTGAGCCTAATATGAATTTAGGTTAGTTTCTATAGGAACGGCAGGGGTACAAAATCTGAAATTTCATATTTTAGTGGTACAAATTGTTACTTTCATTGCAGGAGTAACTACTGATTCTGCTTGTGCAAAAGGGTACTTTACTCTTGAGCCTAATATGAATTTAGGTTAATTTCTATAGGAACGGCAGGGGTACAAAATCTGAAATTTAATATTTTAGTGGTACAAATTATGTTACTTTCATTATAGGAGAAATTATTGATTCTGCTAGTGCAAAAGGGTACTTTACTCTTGAGCCTAATATGAATTTAGGTTAGTTTCTATAGGAACGGAGAGGTACAAAATCTGAAATTTTATATTTTAGTGGTACAAATTATGTTACTTTCATTGCAGGAGTAACTATTGATTCTGCTAGTGCAAAAGGGTACTTTACTCTTGAGCCTAATATGAATTTAGGTTAGTTTCTATAGGAACGGCAGGGGTACAAAATCTGAAATTTCATATTTTAGTGGTACAAATTTTTTACTTTCATTGCAGGAGTAACTACTGATTCTGCTTGTGCAAAAGGGTACTTTACTCTTGAGCCTAATATGAATTTAGGTTAATTTCTATAGGAACGGCAGGGGTACAAAATCTGAAATTTCATATTTTAGTGGTACAAATTATGTTACTTTCATTATAGGAGAAATTATTGATTCTGCTAGTGCAAAAGGGTACTTTACTCTTGAGCCTAATATGAATTTAGGTTAATTTCTATAGTAACGGCAGGGGTACAAAATCTGAAATTTTATATTTTAGTGGTACAAATTATGTTACTTTCATTGCAGGAGTAACTATTGATTCTGCTAGTGCAAAAGGGTACTTTACTCTTGAGCCTAATATGAATTTAGGTTAGTTTCTATAGGAACGGCAGGGGTACAAAATCTGAAATTTCATATTTTAGTGGTACAAATTGTTACTTTCATTGCAGGAGTAACTACTGATTCTGCTTGTGCAAAAGGGTACTTTACTCTTGAGCCTAATATGAATTTAGGTTAGTTTCTATAGGAACGGTAGGGGTACAAAATCTGAAATTTTATATTTTAGTGGTACAAATTATGTTACTTTCATTGCAGGAGTAACTACTGATTCTGCTTGTGCAAAAGGGTACTTTACTCTTGAGCCTAATATGAATTTAGGTTAATTTCTATAGGAACGGCAGGGGTACAAAATCTGAAATTTTATATTTTAGTGGTACAAATTATGTTACTTTTATTGCAGGAGTAACTATTGATTCTGCTAGTGCAAAAGGGTACTTTACTCTTGAGCCTAATATGAATTTAGGTTAGTTTCTATAGGAACGGCAGGGGTACAAAATCTGAAATTTCATATTTTAGTGGTACAAATTGTTACTTTCATTGCAGGAGTAACTACTGATTCTGCTTGTGCAAAAGGGTACTTTACTCTTGAGCCTAATATGAATTTAGGTTAATTTCTATAGGAACGGAGAGGTACAAAATCTGAAATTTTATATTTTAGTGGTACAAATTATGTTACTTTCATTGCAGGAGTAACTACTGATTCTGCTTGTGCAAAAGGGTACTTTACTCTTGAGCCTAATATGAATTTAGGTTAATTTCTATAGGAACGGCAGGGGTACAAAATCTGAAATTTTATATTTTAGTGGTACAAATTATGTTACTTTTATTGCAGGAGTAACTATTGATTCTGCTAGTGCAAAAGGGTACTTTACTCTTGAGCCTAATATGAATTTAGGTTAATTTCTATAGGAACGGCAGGGGTACAAAATCTGAAATTTCATATTTTAGTGGTACAAATTATGTTACTTTCATTATAGGAGAAATTATTGATTCTGCTAGTGCAAAAGGGTACTTTACTCTTGAGCCTAATATGAATTTAGGTTAATTTCTATAGTAACGGCAGGGGTACAAAATCTGAAATTTTATATTTTAGTGGTACAAATTATGTTACTTTTATTGCAGGAGTAACTATTGATTCTGCTAGTGCAAAAGGGTACTTTACTCTTGAGCCTAATATGAATTTAGGTTAGTTTCTATAGGAACGGCAGGGGTACAAAATCTGAAATTTCATATTTTAGTGGTACAAATTGTTACTTTCATTGCAGGAGTAACTACTGATTCTGCTTGTGCAAAAGGGTACTTTACTCTTGAGCCTAATATAAATTTAGGTTAGTTTCTATAGGAACGGCAGGAGTACAGAATCTAACAATTTATATTTTAACGTACTTTATTGCAGAAGTAACGATTGATTTTGCTGTTTAAAAGGAATATGAATTTGGGATAGTTTCTAAGGAACGACAGGGGTGCATATTCTGAAAATTTATATTTTAACGATACAAATTATGTTGTGTTTTATGCAAAAATAGCAACAGATTCTTTTTCTGCAAAAAGTCTCTTTATTTTTAATTACAACAGATTTGGATTAATTTTGAAAGTTGTTTCAGGCATTTTGATTAAATAAATTAGGTTTTTTTAATGGTACATATTGTTACAAAATCAGTCCTTTTTAATTGTACCTTTGTATTTTTCAATGTGGTCCTGCTAGCCTAATATTAAACTAGTAGCACCTTGTGTTTTTTTGTAAACGGTACATAGTACGAAAAATTTATTGGTGGTACAAATTGGTACAAATTTAGTTCTTTTTAATTCTACTTTTGTTTCATTTTTTATTTTATTTTTTTAATGTGGTCCTGCTAGCTTAATATTAAACTAGAAGCACCATGTGTTTTTTTATAAACCGTACATAGTACAAAAAATTGATTGGTGGTACAAATTGGTACAAATTCAGTTCGTTTTAATTCTACCTTTGTTTTATTTTTTATTTTAATGTGGTCCTGCTAGCTTAATATTAACCTAGCAGCGCCACGTTTTTTTTGAAAACGACACATGGTTCAAAATTTTTATTGGTAGTACAAAGTAGGTACTAATCAATGTAATAGATTTTAATCGATTCTGCCCAGTTGGTCCTGCTAGCTTAAGAGAGCTAATATTAACCACTGAAATGGCATGATAAAGTTTCTCAAATATTAAAAAAGTTTCAGGGTACCCACCAGGAGAAAAATTTCCGGAAATGTTCATGATTGTCATACAAATGTTTTAAAATAACAGTATTTGATGTAAATTTTCCTTATCAATGATATGTCATACTTGGTACGTTCCTGATTTAAATTGCATTAGTTAGAGTAACGGCAGTTGATGGTATGATAAAAAGATTTCTTTCCTCAATCTAAACCTGACTTGTCCTAGCGATTTTTAACATCCACAATATTGATACCCAAAACCTCCATATCAAGTTTTCGTTGGACCACTTTGTATATATTTTGTTTATATTTGAATCGTAATAACCATGTGTTTTATCTATTTTACCCATTTCTTTAATTCATCATAACTTACAATCTACATTGTTTTTTTTTTTAATATTCGCTGAAAGAATTCAATTTTGATAGAGGTATTAAATATATTTTAAATTAAATTTGTTTTCCAGGCCGGGCTTAGTAATAAATTGACAAATTTGTATTGCCTCAAAAGAACAGACATTATAATCAGATTTTGAATACAATATTTATTTGAAAAGGACAGAAAAAAAAATAAGTTACAATGAAAATTTATGATTTTACAACCAACAGTTTTACTAGTGAAAATTTCATGGCAAATTTTTGTAATTTCAGATTATAAAATATAATCATTTGTAAGCTCCGATATGGGAATAAATTTATCCAATGCCTACTTTAGAACCATTTTTTGAGTATATTTAAAGTAATTAAATGTGAAATTTTTTTTTTATAAAAAATATATTAAAATAAAAATAAAACAACCATTAATATAACATGTTCTCGAATATTTCATTCATTTGTATATTAAATTTTATAGGTGGAAAATTTCCTAAAGAAAAAAGACTCTAACCGGGAATTAGACGAGTTGGAATGTAACATTAAAAAAATTAAATCTGACACGCATCTCTCAGAAATGAAGTAGAAAAATTTTGTAAAGAAGATATCACCAAGGATTACAGAGAAAAAGACGATGATAGCTCGATACCGAGGAAAAAAAGAGAAGGTAAATATAAACATAATTTATAGTTATTTATTTTTGATAGAATTAAATTCGTATAAGTATTTTACTTATTATTGATTTTTAAAGGAAAAGTAAGTAATCTTAATATAAGTTGATTACCTAATATAAGCAAAAATACATCCAGATCTAGCGTAAAGTAGGTATTTTATTTTTAATAATACAGAAGAATTTTAAATAAATAATAGAAAATTAAAAATAATTTTATTGCCCAACAGATTAATCCATTTACAATAAATAAATAAAACCATTTTTCTATATAAAGTGATATTTTTTGTAATCGCAGCAAGTCTAGTATCAAAATTATCTACTTTTTTTAAAAATTCGACTCCAACATCGTGCAAATGTCATCCACAAATTAAGTTTACTGATTTCTCTCCTAAATCCCATCATCAGATCTTGACCAAATGTATATGAGACCATCCCCGAAGTACCCCTTTTCTAAGGAAAAAAATAATTGTACAAATCGAACAGAAATTATCTTTGAATATACATAAAAAAATTAAGCGTTTAATGTTTTTTCTCATGAATTTCATTATCAGATTGTGGTCAAACTTATATAGGATTACCTCTGAAGTACCCCCTTTCTAACGAAAACAGAAAAAACGAAATCGGACAAAGTGGTATAGAATTATCGCTGAACATACATAAAAAAAAATATTTGGTTTTCAACACGTTCTCGTCCGCCCTTAAATTCTCTCGTCCACGTATACACACGATTTTGAGACAATTTACTGTCCCCAAACTGTGCCTTCAAACATGTTTAACGCCTGCATTTGTTAAAAACTTTATAATAATTCGTTGCGCAACAGACGAATGTACCTCTTACTCGCACCTGGCCGGTTTCCCATTCCCATTCCTCATAAACCAAACATTTACTTCTCATAAATTATGTAGCTCGGAAATGCGTTCTAAAAAGAACAGCAAAATAACCGTTTATATTTGATTTACCCGCGTATATACAAAAATTTAACAGCCTAAAAATATGCAATCCTGACTCGAAGAATCTTAATTCATCCATGCGTCAGCCTACCTACAAAGAACATTTCAGTCGATTCTCGATCGGCCAGCGTAACCGGTTAAGGTAAAAAAAAGAACAGGGTTGGACTAGTTGCACGACAATACAGTTCATCAAATTTCTAGAGGCTTTCGACGGCTAGACAGAGAAAGCACTACTGAGAGGCATCGGTTGGCGGGGCCGACGGATTTACGCAATGAAAGTACACTCTGCGCATCAAGTATTTCACTATTTTATTCAGACGTAAATGTCAGATGTAAATTTCGCTAAAACATTTCTTTTATTTTCGTTTGTGTTTTTTGCTCATTACAGTTTAATAGAACCTAAGTATGGAGTTTAATAGCAAATTAAGAGGCCGCGTGATTAACAGTCAATCTCGCGAAATAATAGCCAATGTTATAGAGTTTATGAGAAGAGAAAGGAAACTTTAATTCACCTATTTAAAAATGTAAATGATCGTGTTGCTGCAGCCACAGGAGTATCTAAAAACACTGTCGTCCGCATTTCTGGAGAGAAAAAAGAATCGATAACCGTGAGATATCGGAATTTTCATCACCAAGAAAAACCATTAAAAAACCAAAAACAGTTAATGATATAGATGAAGCTGACAAAGGTATTTTAAAAAGAATTATTCTGTTCATGTTAATCTCGGCAAATATTGTTCCAACATTAAAAACAATTCTGACTAAATTTAGAGAAGCTACAGGGTACAAAGGAAGCTATGAAAGTTTAAGAAAAATAATAAAGTCGCTAAGATTTCGTTGGCGGCAAACAAAAACAAGAGAAAAATATTAATGGAAAGGTTTGATATTCAAAAGCTACGTTTAGACTATCTGATTCGTTTAAAAAGTTATCGAGCAGAGGGCCGTCCAATTGTCTACTTAGATGAAACATACATTCATGCCTCCCACACACACCAGAAAGCTTGGAGTGATAATTCAAATGAGGGATTAAATAAACCAATTAATAAAGGTGATAGACTAATTATTGTCCATGCAGAAGGTGAAATGGGCTTTATTCCGAATGCCCGGTTAAGTTTCAAATCTGGAACCAAAAGTGGAGACTACCACGATGAAATGAATTTTAATAATTTTTCTAAATGGTTGAAAGAAAAGCTGTTTCCGAACCTCCCTCCAAGAAGCGTCATTATTGTTGATAATGCTCCTTACCATAATGTCCAGGTAAATAAAGCACCAACGTCAACTTCTAAAAAAGCTGACATGCAGGATTGGTTAAGGAATCATAATATTGCTTACGAAGAGGATATGCTCAAAAAGCAATTATACAGTTTAGTGCTATTGCATAAGTCACGATTTAAGAGGTATGCAATTGAAGAAATGATAAATGAACATGGTTTTAGTTGTTTGCGTTTGCCACCGTATCATCCCGATCTTAATCAGATCGAATTAGTGTGGGCATCATTGAAACAATATGTAGCTAGTAACAACACTACATTTAAGAGGCAAGACGTACAACTGTTGTGTGAAGACTTTTTTGATATGTTTTCTAAAGAGGAGTGGCAATCTCGTTGTAATAATGCTAAAATGTGGGAATCTAAATTTTATGACAGAGAAGTTACTTTGGATGAGGCAACTGATAGATTTATAATTAACTTAAACAGTAACAGTGAGATTGATTTTGAATCTGATATGGAAACTGAAGAAAGTTTTTCGGAAGACCATTAAAATTATATCTGTACCTAAGATCAAAAAAGTATTATCTATTTTTACAACGAAGATGCACAAGAATCAAATTTTATTTTTTTATTATTAGATAGCTATTTTTGTTTCTGAGCTGTGTTCATTTACAGGCTCAATTTTTTTCCGTTTCTACTTTTTGATTTTATATGGGGTTTCAAGTTGTTTTTGACTTATTTCGACGTAAATCACAACAACACACTTTTTTAATAAAGCAAACAAGTGTTAAGAGGTATATGTACGTGTAAACTACAATTACAAAAAATTGATATGAAACCCATGAAACCACCAACAAAAATGTAAAGCTAGCTTCCGTACTAGAACATGGTGTCATTCGTCGAGATAATTTATCGTTTTGTTTAATAGATTAAGAAATGTAAATATTCCCCTGTTATTTTTTATAAAATTATAAGAGAAATAAATTTTTTTCTAAATAGTATAGTTTATTATTTTGTAGAAAAACAAAATTTCGAAAATTTTAGTAATGTTTCAGAAACAACCGTTATTAATAATAGGTACCATTTTCCTTAATAAGGTAGAAATAAAATATAAACTATTTCCACGATTTACAAAGGCCTACAAAAAAATTATAGGTATTTTCCGCTATCCTATAAAATTTATATTTTCTGACTCAATTTCAAAAGGTTGAAGGAATTCCAAAACACCTTTTATGGCATAATAATTATTTTCAATTCTACATACTATCTTTAGCTGCTTTTAAAAACGTTCTAAGAAAGTCCAATCAGACCAATTTAATCCCTAAACTATTCCACACTTTCAAAATTTAATTACCTAAGAATATTAAAAACTATTTAAAATAACTTGTTTAGCAGACTGTACAATAGCTATCTTAGTCACACGTAGCGCGTTCTCTGTCTGGGCGTCGAACACCTCTAGAAATTTGATGAACTGTACATAAAAAGATATATTCAGATGAATTGAGAACCTCCACCTTTTTTTTTTTAAGAAAAAATTGTAATAATAAAGTATTACCCAAAAAAAAGTCGCTCCAATTTTGTTATTTAATTATTATTCAGTCGATCCTACTAATATATTTATTTTAATTATTAATTTAAGGTTGAAACACATGTAAAGAAAAGAAAGGATTATAATCAGCAAAGTCTAATTGCTTTTCCAAGAAGAGACGGAGGATCTAGGAGTAGAGATACTTTGAATAGGAGATCTGTACCTATCGTCAAAGAGAAGAAAAAGTCAAACCAAGAAAGTTTAGGTAAGTTGTTAGTTGTTAGAGTTAGAGGTTTGTGTGCGCATTTGTTTTAAGTATTCGCGTTGTATTGTGATGGTACACCAGTGTAATATTTACTAAATTAAAAATCTGATGTGTCCAACACATGCCTTTCCTATCTAGTTATTATAGGCTTTTTCCGGTTATTTTGTACAACCTATTGCAGCATCTCTATAAATGTTTAGAGGATAAACTAAATATATACATTGTCCACATACATCTACCTCGAAACATTTTTCTATATTCATTGAAAACGAAAATACTGAAAAATTTAAATTTAGCACTTTTTCATTACGGTCCATTTTAGAAAAATCATGTTTAAACAAAAATTATAGAGATCGATATCGCAAACAACTTTTAGTTCAACAATTTTCATAAAAATCAGAATTTTGCACATTTTGTCAAATTTTTGGAATACGGACCATTTCAGGAAATTTTGACATAAAGCAAAAATTATAGATAATAATATTAGAAGTAACTTTTATTTGAACAATTTTCTTCTCCAAACATAAATAACAGATATATTTCATAAAATATAAAAACGGCCTCCCATAAAGTACCCCCCAGATGTTCCGACTTTGTCCAAAATCTAATCATTTCACGTCAGGCCGAAATTAACCTTAAGTTTAAAATTTAATGTTTTTTTCTTTATCCGTTTTTGAGTTTTCTTCAAAATTCGAAATTTACACATTTTCTCAAATATCTCGAATACGGTCCATTTTAGAGAAATTATGTATAAAATAAAAATTATAGAGAATTATATTACAAACAACTTTTATTTAAACAATTTTTATAAAAAATTATTTTTTTTACATTTTGTCAAATTTCTTGAGTACGGACCATTTTAGGAAAATTTTGTATAGAACAAAAATTATAGATAATTATATAAGAAGTAACTTTTATTTGAAGAATTTTCTTCTCTAAACGTAAATAACAGATATAT